ACTGAATCTGTGTATTTCTGATGTTCAATAAATATGTTACCGAGATCAATTAGTCATGTCAATATTACTTCATAATTATTGTATTTGAAATTTTGTTTTCTGTGCAGAAGTAATAAGTTTGTGGTCTGAAATAATAATTATAACTACGACAATTTAGTTCTTTGAATTAAAAGTGATATTTGTAAGGGAAAAATTAAGATTTGCGTTTTTTTGAGTGAGTCACATTTTTTGTTAAATAGGAAGCGATAATGTAAGAAATATATGATTTTTTTTTCATTTAGATATATAATATTCTGGTTATAGAAAATAATAATTGAATTCATGATATAACAATAAAATAAAAAAAATATATCGAATCTGAAGTTTCGATACCTGAATGATTTCGTCCGTAAACCGATCAATGTCAAAATCCAAATTCTCCATACAACTCTTGACACAATCAACATCAATTGAGGATCCAGGATTTAATTTTGGTGAGCTTTATTTTTTCACTGCAGTGTGGGAGTCCCGCTTGAAGACGTCCAAAAATCCCTTTCCTGGACCAATTTTCTTCTTTCTCTCCATTCTGTACGCCTCTTCTTGTATGTAAGCTTCCTTGATTTCTTCCTCTCTGGTTTTTCTGTTTTCCCCTCGGTTTCTCTCCTTCTATTTTTACCTTATACGTGAATATTGTCACACATCCCTTCAGATGTTCTCGAAACATACACGAACCACCTGAGGCTTATTCCTCAATAATAAGCCTCCGGTCAATCATGCCTTTAATAGTTTTTATTTATTTTCGGGAACTTGGATACTTTGGGATTCAATACACCATCCTTTTGACTTAATCCTCTCTTAATGTCTATCCTTTTCCAATTATCTACATATTAAAAAATAACATGTTTCTTATGGCATACATGGGGGGGGGGAGGGGGTTGTTTTAGAGGTATAACCATACATATCCGAACCAGGGGGGAAGGTCGAAATTCATTCCGTGGGTACGCCATTAAATTAATTTTTACTCGCACATGCCGAATTCGATCTGATGTCCATAGACTCGAGAATGTTAAAATAGACACGCTCATCACGGCATCTGGTTTTATAAACCATGTTCTGTCGCTGTCTTGAGACTTTAAAGATCCGTTAGCGAAGACAGGAGAGTACCGTGACTATTCTCGAGCTATGAGTCAGCTTCTCGAGTCCTTGAACTTCAAATGCACAAGTCGTCGATGAAACCGCAGCTTCCAACACATTCCGCTGACAGGATAAACAATGGCATTCATCAGGCATGATGTCTCTAGTTTTATGGGAGGCAGTGCCACCACATTAGGGAAGGAGAGATTTTCGGACCCGGAAGTTCAAGGGACCAGGTGAAAATAGTAGGATTTCATATAACTTTTTAACCAAAATTAAATATTGCTAGTTATTTTATAATAAATATCTACCATTATAATATATTTACATAAAAATACACGCAAATACACTTATAATCATATGTCAAAATAACCGTAGTAGTACCAAGCTCTGATCTATACGAGCTATGTGAGGGCCCCGAACCCAGTTTAATTGGTCTTAAAATTGTAATCTAATAAATATATAGTTATTTTTGGGAGGAAATTGTAGAATCGTTTCCCCCCTTTTTTTTTTTTTTTTTTATGGAAACCATGTTTTTAAAAACTAAACGATGTCTCACAAAAAATGAAAAGTTATTGATATATAATAAATTTTAATGCAAAATGAACGTAATTATGCATATACATTGATGGTAGTTCATTAATAGTGATACATACCATGTATACTAAATAATTGGACTCATTAGGTTCATTAATTTTTTTTAGAGTTACTTCTACAAAGTCACAGTAAAAAAAAAAAATAAATAAAAAAAAAAAAAATATATATATATATATATATATATATATATATATATATATATAGATATATATATAGAAAGGCCAAAAATGAGTCTTGTTAAAACTAACTAGTAGCTGCCATCATTTTAAGAGAATAGATCAGTTGTGAAAAATGATGTGGGATTTCATGCGAAACATTTACTATGATAAATAAATAAAGTAAAGAAAAAAATTAATATTCAATAAATATGTTTATAATTATCTATTAAGGTCAGGTCCTTTTCATTTTCTTCTTTTATCACTCCAACCGCCGTTAATCAGCTAAATTGTATGACAAACCCAAACAAATAATTTCAATTTTGAATCTCCTTTGAATCATAAAATATATACAGATCATCGAAATTTCCAAAAGCCATTATTTGAATTAGGTTTCAAAATTAAACAAAATATTTTGTGTATTATTCATTTTTTTTAATTTAAAATTATGTGAATCTAAAATAAAAGTATGAAATGATGATAATAGGAATATTTTATACAAAAGAAAACTCCAAATTTTTGGCAGGATTTGTTATGACAATTCAACATTATGACAGCCAGGACAGCATCGTTTGTTTGAACAGTATAAGAATGACTAGTTGGCTGATAATTTAAAAGAAGAAAAAAACTTCAAGTGCCTTTGTGATAATCTAGTTTGCACTAGATTATCAAAGTGAATTAAAGGAAGAAACCCTCGAATTAAGAATTACTACTTGAACATTAGTCATAGATTAATTTAAGATAAATCCTATAATAACTTAAATAAAAACCTTACTAAAATATGTGATAGTAAATATCTAGTAATTGGTAGGATTGGAATTAATTTCCGTTCAATAACTTGAAACAAATATTAACAAATAGAAGTAAAACTCAATTAATTGTGTGATGAAGTTATAATATACAATTTATTCCTAATATATCCTAGATAATTTTAAAAGTAACTATATATTTCAAAATAGTACAAGTAACGATTAGATCAAGTATATGAATTGATTTGTTTGATAATGAATTAATAGAATTAATCATGTCATGTTTAAATGAATCAAGATTATACATATAAGTAGAACAGTTTAGCAATGAAAGCTATTTTTGTTGGGATTTCATTAAAATATGACGATATGGTATCCAATTTTGCTCTTAAGTATAGGTTAGAATTTCGTTGAATGACATTGTAGATACCAGCATTCACAGAGGACTGAAGATCCTTCCTTGAGATATTCCAGCCAAATGTGGATACGAACAGAAAATGAATAACCAAGAAAAGAAAGAAAAAATCTATAAAGAAATATTTGAGAAAGAAAAATCAGTCAGAAAGTAAATATTGATTTATTTTTCTGATCTGTTCTGTACAGACTGCTTAACAGAAAATCTATCCTCTCAATTGAAAACAAACTATTAATATACAAGACCATACTGAAACCCATCTATACCTTCGGACTTGAACTGTGGGGAATAACTAAATTTTCTAACATCAAATGCATCCAAACCTTCCAGTCTAAAGTCCTCCGTATAATAGTCAATGCTCATTATGTTACGAACAAAACCTTACATTTTTTTATTTAATGTTATCTCATGTTTGATTTATTCTGTTATTCCAAGTTTTATTTTATTTTATTTTGTTATAATCTTGTTTTTCTTTTATTGTATATATTGTATGTTTGTGTTTCATTCATCCTAAATACTGCTTTTGTTTCTGATTTGTTCAACTTAAAGGAATGATTCTTAACTATTATACGATAATAGTTCCACATTTCATCGATAACTTAAGCTAAACCTTTACATTCCTGAGGACATAAATTTATTTATTTTCATAAATTAGACTCTTTATTATTAAGAAATCCACGTACGAGGAATATTCAACAAATATTGTTCAGCAAAAGTCATAAAATGATATAGCCAAGAGGAAACGTGCACTCTTTCCACAATATTAACCATTTTCATTGAGCATTCCCAAAATTTACAAACTAAAATTTATAAGCTATTAGTTTGTGCAAGCATAACTACAAATTGATTGGATTGATCTGAGCTGATATTGTTTAGACAACCGCCCACCTCCTTCCATAGGAGATAGCAAAACATGAAACCACTTACTAGAAACCATTAAGATTGAAATTGAAATTTGAGCAGATGGGTGGGGTAAAGTTATCTTGAACGATCGCATAATTTAAGGCATGATCATAAATACGTGAGTATTATATCTATCGCTCCCAACAACAAAGAATCCGTTTTAGTATTTGATATTCCTTGATACGTAGTGAGCCTACCACCATCCACCAATTTGTTTTGAACATTCATACCAACAGAATATCACTAAGGGAAATAAAGTAATCAGGTATCCAGAAGGAGGTTTCATTGCGCATTTTGGGCCATCAAAATTTTTGAGGAGGGCACATTTTAATGAGGTTGTGAATTATTGAGGAGGGCACATTATGGGCACATTAATTTTCGTTTCAAACCAGTCGCAATGGAGAAACATGGAATAGACCGCAGACAGTGTATATGTGTGACCTACGATTTTTATATTCTACTATCGCTGCCACTTTTAAGATGAAAAGAGCAATAAAATATCGTTGGGGAGGGAGTAAGAAATTCATACACCGTTGACCTTGGGGGAAGAGGGCACACGATTCAGGATATGAATGGAAAATCCAAACCATAAACTTTTTGCCATTTCAGCCATCATCAGGAGAAACCAATAAAAAAACAAGTTCATATATATGCATAAAGAAAAAAATATATATAGAAAAAGCATTTGCTAAAGACAACTCACCAAGCCATCCAAAATTGTCTCCCCCTTTTTTCCCTCTTAATCAGCTGGTTAATATAACCTTCCTCTGTTGTGTTCATGCATCCTTTCGTTTTCTCCAGTATGTTTTCGGATGGTTTGATGAGATGTTGCAAATGTTGTTGTTTTGTTTTTTTATCATTATAATTATTATTTTTTCTTTCCCAATGAGGCCCGAATTAACAAAATTTCGGCAATTTAGTTGTCCGTTTGTATATAAGAGACTCCTGGTTATATAGTTTGGATTTTACCATTTATATCCAAAACATCGTTAGTCAGGTTTGAAGTCCAATCAATAGGGCAGATTGATTTGTTTTTTCCAATTGTTAATAACATACTATCACACATACCTCTAATGTCTTTTCGTCCAGTTCCCCAGTTATTTCAAAACCTAAAAACCTCTGCACTTCCTTGATGCCTTCTTTGAACTTCTCATCTGTGATGTTATCCAGTAGAGGCTGTGCTGCTGAGCCGTCTTCCGAGCCTTCAAGGTATCCAAACTTCTGCATGAAGATCAACTGTAACAATTAATTATTTTTGTTATTTTATATTTATTTAATTTTTTTTTTAAATTAATATAATGAACCAACCATGAAATGGTGTTCAATCGAATTCTATATAATAACTTTTCAAGGATCGGCCCAAAAGATTCAATAGAAATTTTTTTCCGAAAATTAAAAATAAACCAATCCTTATATTTCTAATTCTATATGACAGCGTTTTTCAATGTGATATAAGCAGGATACGAGTCTCGGGCGACTGAAGATTTCCTCTGGAAGAAATGAACCATTGAAATTCAACAAGAAACTTTAATTTCACAAAAGGATATATTATTTCACCTCTCCTTATAAGAGAAGTTCGGACCGAATGGGATAGCCTTTGAAATGTATTCCCGAGGGAGAGTAGGCGGGTATTAAAATATGAATAGGAAAGGGCTAAAATTAATACACCCTTTGAATTATTTAAATTTTTAATAAACGTCCTTTCCCTTTTCATAAGAAAGCCCGTGGAATATCTAATTCATGCATAAAGTACAATTAAGCCCCGTTTAAGCGTGGCGATTCGGGGAAAGCCTGCTCCTTAACATAAGCCCCTAGTTTGAGCTGTTCCTTGTTTTGTTTTTTTCCATCTATTTTTTTAGTAATATTTAGTGTAAGTTATCACATTATTATAAACAGTTAAATTCTTCATTGCCTTTTTTAAATAAATTTATCATGATAATGAAATTTATAAAAATTTTAATTATAAAGACGAATTGTTTTAGAATAATATTTACATAGGCAATGAGTATAAATATGCAATACTGATTGTATCAATTATAGTATATGTTGTATTGGAATGTTGGTACCGCCCAGTTGATGCGTCTTTTTTTTTCTTTTTTTTTTTAATATACTATGGCACGATGGTTTATTACATTAATTAAAAACGATTATTCAATTATTAATTTTATTATCATATCTAAAAGATAGATTTTTCCGTGTGAAAATGGGGACTGAGTTTTTTGCCATCAAACAAATAAAAGCTGGAGCACCTCAAGGCAGTATCTTGGGTCCAACACTTTTCAACATTTACTGTTCAGACATCCCACAACATTCTGAAACACTGTTGGCTACATTTGCTGATGACTCGGCAATATTAACATCTAACAAGGATGGAGCTAAGGCTTCTCAGGTACTTCAAGAACACCTAGACAACATAGCTTGTAAAAGGTGTAGGATACAAATGGACGAGTCTAAGAGCCAATTTGCTTCATTTACACTTAGTCATGACTTTTGTCCTCCAGTGTTCTTTAATAATATCGCTCTACCACCTTCAAAAACTGTACGATATTTGGGTCTGTACTTGGACAAACGACTGATGTGGACATACCACATAAAACAAAAAAGAAAAGAACTTAATCAGCGATACGGACTTCTTTCTAGGCTACTTGACAGACGTTCTAAATTATCTGTGACTAATAAATTAACTATTTACAAAGTCCTCATTAAACCACTTTGGACATATGGAATCGAACTATGGGGAACAGCAAAGAAATCAAATATAAAAATCATCCAGTTATTCCAGTCAAAAGTCCTTCGGAAAATTGTAGACGCACCCTTTTATATTTCAAACCTTACGTTACGCACTGACCTTAACACTCCTTTCATCAGGCCAACTGCCACTGATAGCTTTAATAATTTTCATTACAGGCTGACTCTAAATTCAAATCCACTTACTCAAGCCCTATCGACTACTACAAATCCATATAATCCGCCCGGAAGACTGCTGAGGCGCTGGCCAAGAGACTTATTGCATTGAGCTAGTACTTGCTGTATTATCTTTTTTTTTGTTTTATTTTACTACCTTTTTTTGTTTTGTTATTACTTTTCTTTCTTTATTTATGCCATCATTTATTCGCCTTAATATCATAGTTGCTGAAAACCGAGATATATGGCAAATTTATTGTGAGCCAGGAATATGTGTAACTAATAAATAAATAAAAATAAATTTTAATTTAAAGAACTCTTAATGTGAGATTTGCTGTAATATCAATGCACACAATTTTCGATTTTGTGTATGTTCGGATAACACCAGAATTGACGAAATAGTGACCTGCCAATTGTTAACCTTTATTTAATAGCTGAGTGAAGCTGTGTGTGCAGTATCTCTTAATTAAAATATATTATGCCGATAAAATGTGAACTAACTTTATGAAAGTAATAATAAACATAAGTAATAATAGTCGCAAGAAATGCTTTATTATTGTCTTATGCATCAGCTATAAGCAGGGATCTAGATATCAGACACTGCTGATTTTAAACAGTTAAAAATATCAAAAATAAAAAATTATTATTATTTATTTATCTTAAGATTGACAATTTTATTGTTACCCCCATTGCTCTCAAAGACTTAAAAAGTAAAATCATTTAAATGTCCATGTTTTTTTAATGTAATAAAATCATAATATTCCTGTTATTCCAAGCTGTGATAATTGAATCATAAAGATGTTTTATTTTTCATCAATTTTTTCTTTAATTAATAATTATTATACAATTAGGGAGAACGCACAAGTAATGGACAGGAGACCCAGAGATGGACAGATTGGACTTTAAATGTCAATAATAAACTTCCTTGTTGATTTAAAGGTTCCAGTTTTTTCCTATATTGAAGAACAATGCCCTGTATTGACATCTGTATGCAGAAAGTTTCCAAAAGAAAATTTTAAAATGCCTATCATTGTTGTTTCTATAGTGCTCTTGAAAACAGTGTGTTTCATACGTTCCTACTAACAGTTGTGCTAAGGGTATGTTGAACATTTATGTTATGTTATCTTTATAGTTAATAAAAATTTAGAATTTTTCTGAGGTATGTCCATTGCTAGAACAATTGAAGTTCGGGGTGTCCGTCAGTAGTGCAAAATATGTGTTGTTTTTTTAATGTAGGTTATACCTGCATAACTGAATATGCTTTTCAATTTTAAAGTACTAAATACAAAACGGCCCTAGAGATTCTAAACGTCCAACGGAGAAGATTATAACTATAATAATTACGGCGGCATGAGGCAAAAGGGACATAAAATTCCTTAGCTATCACTGGTACGCTTACCTTTATTATTGCTATACCCAGTATTTATTTACTCATTGTAAATAGCACAATTGAATGATTTCAAGGGGAGAAAATGCAATGAAATGTGCGGTTGAGTCAGTCTATAACACACGCGTTACCTATTTCATGTTGACATCTATAAGAATGCGTTCCTGCCACACCTCTTTTTACCTTAGATTATTTTCCTGTGACAATCATGAAAACTATGTTGAACTACGGAAAGAATGGACTAACGCTGATAATAAGAATGAATATAAACCACGTTACACAAACTTTACAATCAACCATAAAAAAAATTTGAAAAAAAGTGTACCTAGAAAAGAAAACTAAATCAAATATTTTTACATTTAATCAACAATAAATTAAAATTTAAAGACCATTAATGCTTTTTAAGTTTAAACTATAAGCTGAAGTTAATGTTATTATTTGTCTAAGAAAATAAAATTAAGGATGTTTTTGGAAATCATTTACTGAATTTTTTGGAACAATTTTTTTTTCAAAAAACTAAATCAATTATATTTTTTTTTCAAATTATTAGACATATATAGCTGTGAAAATTATATATCATTCATTCACTGTCAGAATGTTTCTTAGAATTTATTATAATGAATAAAATCACGTTCAAATATTTCTTGAACATCCAACCTGAAAAAAAAAAAAATTAATTAACGTGAGCGAAACCCGTCACCCTAAAAAGTAAATTGTATAATATTAATAAATAAATGATTATTATGTGAGCCTTTCAGTTGACAGAATGACTAACTCCAATTTCAACATTTTTTTATTATTAATTTTAGTGATATTTCTTGTGGGAATATTTATCAATTCAGTTCTATATTTCAACAATGCAATCACCTACTCTGGAATCAATTTACTCACTGTTTGTACAGATATTATAGATTTTCCCACTAGAAATATCACTAAAATTAATAATTAAAAATATTGCAATTGGAGTAAGTCATTCTTTCAATTGAAAGGCTCATAAAATAATCATTCATTTATGTTTAGGATTCTATTTATTTTTCTGAATGACGGTTTTCGCTAATATTAATTAATACCTCCACCTTCATTTATCAGGGGGCCAGTTAATTGGAACCTCTTCCGTCAAATGCTGGATGATAATATTGACCTCAGAGTTTCCTTAAAAACACCTACAGACCTAGATGAAGCAGTACATTCCATGACTACCTTGATCCAACAAGCAGTTTGGACTGCATCTTCACCTGATCCTTCTAAAAAATACCGCAAAACAAATCCTCTACCCCAAGACCTACTGGACCTTATTAATAGAAAACGATGCTCTAGGGCTATCTGGCAAAGAACCAGGCATCCTGATGATCGGAAATCATATAACTATTATTCCAAGCAAGTAAAACAAAAACTGGCCACGTTTAGATCCCAATCCTATAATTCCTATCTTTCCTCACTATCTGCAAGTGATAACTCCATCTGGAATGTAACTAAAAAAATCCTTAAATTCCAATCCATTTCCCACCCCCTCCGCCGTGATGATGGTTCCTGGGCTTCGTCAGATGAGAATAGAGCAGAAGAGTTTGCTAAACATCTATCGTACACATTCACTCCTCATCCTGAACTCCATCCCTCCCATACTGCTGAAGTTAAAGAGTTCCTCTCTTCACCGATTCCTCTCTCCTTACCTCCTACAGCCGTCAACCCCTCTGAGGTCAAATTCCTTTTAAAGAACCGAAAACCTCGCAAATCTCCCGGACACGATCTCCTTACTTCCCAGATCCTCAGACAACTTCCCAAAAAAGCAATTATATTCCTTACATACCTATTCAACTGTATCCTCCGCACAACCCACTTTCCTCTGGTGTGGAAACACTCCATAATTATCCTCTTTCCTAAACCAGGTAAACCTGTTAATTATACATCATCCTATAGACCGATAAGCCTACTTCCGATCCTTTCC